ATAAAACGAAATTAAAATAATTATTCTTAAAGAAAAGATAAAGTAATAGTGCCCCTCGGGTAAGAATATAAAAATAAAATAAATAAAAATAAATATAAATAAATATAAATATAAATAAATCATATTAAATATATAAATAAACCGAAATTATTAAAATAATTATTGTTAAAGAAAAGATAAAGTAATATATTTTATTCTTCTTTATACAGGTGCTGCAAGCAAATTAATAGGAGGAAGTGCAGCGGGAACATGTTTAGATTATGCATATGATGAACTGGATGCTTCTTTCTCATTTGCATTTGAAGTGAGTCTAATATATATTTATTTATTATTAATTAATTGTTTATTCAATTTAATTAAATAAATAAATAATATTTAGCTTAGATTATGCATATGAAGAACTCAGTGTTTCCTTCTCATTTGCATTTCAAGTGAAATTTATTATTAATTAATTATTTAATTAATTAGACAAGTATTTAATTTAATTATACATAAAAAGATAAAATAAACTTGAATTAAAAATATTGTTATTTTTAATTTTTTTATTGCTGCAGATTTACTCACCACCTCTATTGGAGTCAGACAAATTGCTGAAAGCATTTGAAGCAGAAGAAAATTTTCTTGATTTGTTTGAGGGGCCTTTGATAAAAGGAAGCAAAAGAAGAAGTAGATTAAAACAACAACGAGGACAAAGGGGTTTAAAGGAGACAGAAGAAAGAGAGAAAAAGAAAAGCTGCTTCTTGGTACTTAAAGAGATAAACAAAAATATTATTTAGATAAACACAAATATTATTTAGATAAACAAAAATACTATTTAGATAAACACAAATATTATCTTTCTTAATTATAATTTATTAATCCTATTGTCTACTTCTCTTCTTTCTTCGGTCTCTGGTTTATACAATCATCTGCTTTTCTCTGTTTTTGTTTAAATCTTTTTGTTTGTTTGCTTGTTTGTTTGCTTGTTTGATTGCGTTTTAACTCATTTAAATTTAATTTAGTTTAATTTAATTTAATTTAATTTAATTTAAATTTATT